GTCCCTTTCTTCTTCGTCGTCTTCTTCCTCGTCGTCCTCGTCGTCGTCATCGTCGTCGTCTTCATCGTCTTCTTCTTCTTCTTCTTCTTCTTCTTCATCTTCTTCTTCTTCTTCTTCTTCTTCTTCTTCTCTGCCTTCTCCTTCTTCTTCTTTTTCTTCTTCATCGTCGTTGTCATCTTCTTCGTCGTCGTCGTATTCTTCGTCTTCTTTGTCATCGCCGTCTTCGTCGTATTCGACGTCGTCCTCTTCTTCTTCTTCCTTGTCTTCGTCTTCTTCTTCTTCTTCCTCTTCTTCTTCTTTGTCTTCGTCTTCGTCGTCGTCGTCGCCGTCTTCGTCTTCGTCTTTGTCTTCGTCTTCGTCTTCTTCGTCATCGTCTTCTTCTTCTTCTTCTTCCTCTTCTTCTTCTTCTTCTTCTTCTTCTTCTTCTTCTTCGCCTTTGTCTTCTTCTTATTCGCCTTCTTCTTCTTCGCCTTCTTCTTCTTCGCCTTCTTCTTCTTCGCCTTCTTCTTCTTCTTCTTCGTCTTCTTCTTCGCCTTTTTCGCCGTCTTCGTCTTCGTCTTTGTCTTCATCTTCGTCTTCTTCGTCATCGTCTTCTTCTTCTTCTTCTTCTTCTTCTTCTTCTTCTTCTTCTTCTTCTTCGCCTTTGTCTTCTTCTTATTCGCCTTCTCTTCTTCGCCTTCTTCTTCTTCACCTTCTTCTTCTTCGCCTTCGTCTTCTTCTTCGCCTTTTTCTTTGCCTTCTTCTTCTTCTTCACCTTCTTCTTCTTCTTTGCCTTCTTCTTCTTCTTCGCCTTCTTCTTCTTCTTTTTCGCCTTCTTCTTCTTCCTCTTTTTCTTCTTCGCCTTCTTCGCCGTCTTCGCCTTCTTCTTCTTCGCCTTCTTCGCCTTCTTCGCCTTTTTCTCCTTCTTCTTCTTCTCCTTCGTCGTCTTCCTCGTCGTCTTCTTCTTCGTCGTCGTCTTCGTGGTCGTCGTCGCCTTTTTCTTTTTCGCCTTCTTCTTATTTGCCTTCTTTGCCTTGCTCGCCTTCTTCGTCGTCTTCTTCGTCGTCTTCTTCGTCGTCTTCTTCGTCGTCTTCTTCTTCTTCTTCTTCTTCTTCTTCTTCGTCTTCGTCTTCGTCTTCGTCTTCTTCTTCTTCTTCTTCTTCTTCTTCTTCTTCTTCTTCGTCGTCGTCGTCGTCGTCATCGTGTTATTCGTCTTCGTCTTCGTCTTCGTCTTCGTCTTCATCTTCGTCTTCTTCTTCTTCGTCTTCTTCTTCTTCTTCTTCTTCTTCTTCTTCTTCTTCTTTTTCTTCTTCTTCTTCGTCGTCGTCATTGTCTTCTTCTTCTTCTTCTTCTTCTTCTTCTTCTTCGTCTTCTTCTTCTTCGTCATCGGCGTCAGCGTCTTCGTCTTCTTCTTCTTCTTCTTCTTCTTCTTTTTCTTCTTCGTCATCGTCGTCGTTGTCTTCTTCTTCTTCTTCTTCTTCTTCTTCTTCTTCTTCTTCTTCTTC